TTTATACCGCCGGTAACCGGTAATAAAAAGACGGGCCAAATGCGCCGAAGCAGGTGAATGAAGGAAGGAAGGAAGGAATGATATGAAAATAGATGAAGACTCCATCAACCTGAGACATTTATAAGGGTACAAAACTGAAGAAGAAAAGCGATATTTCCCCTTTTCGTATCCATTTATTCGTTTATTACAAGCGGGCATTACCATTGGGCGTACCATTTATTAATTAAAAACAGTTTTATTACTCGAAAACAAAAATTGTATAAAACCCATGTCACCTGGCTGATTGGTTTTTAACCAGCGACTGTACTTTTATTTTTAATACTCCTTTTACAGATTAGTACTAATTTAGTCTTTGGATCGCCAAATAAAATAAATTTAACGCTAATCTCTACAATTCATCACTCACTTTTAATCTCATCATGTCATTAAAATACAAAGTGATCGGTAAAATTTATAATCGTTATAAAAAGTATATAATCGCTAAGGTTTTTTCCGCCACTAAACTCTCTCTCTCTCTCTCTGTCTCTCTGTCTCTTTTCAGCCTGTCTCCACTCCATTCATCGCGACCTTGTGCGATCTAGAGCCACTTCCTTTCAAACTAAACGACAAAACTAAAACAGTTTCTATTTTTAAACTGAAACTGTAGCACCGTTGTGATTTGAAAATTAAATGAAAAGAAAACGCGACAGAATTTTTTTTTATTAAAAAAAAGTTTAAAAAACGCCTTTATAGAAAACCAAACTAAAAAATAGAAAATAATTTTTAATTAATATGAAAAAAAGCGTTGGGTGCCTGTTGTCAATAGTAAAAAGCACCCTACGCTTTTCTTTTAAATTAGTGTATTGTCATCGGTCCTCAATATATCTACAAAATTTGAACGAATTCTGACCGTTTAAAGTCAGTCAAAATCACGCCCAAAGGAGTCGGTAACAAACAAACATACAAGTGAAGCTAATATAAAGCGTGTAAAGAGACAAACAAATTCATAAAAAGGATTTAGCCTGCGAGAGAATGTGATAGATTACAAGTATACTATAGTGGTTAGTTGCAGGTATCCCTTGGTGCCGGTCGTCGCTTATCATCAGGTGACCCGTCTGCTTATTTGCCTCCATACCATAAAAAAAACAGCCCATTGCAATCCACTGCTGATCGTAGGCTTCTCGGACCCTTGAACCTCCGTTAAAGCTTGCCTAAGACAAAGTTTTCGAGACACCTTGTGCCCCGCACAACCAATCTGTGGAACGGGTTATCGTCTGCGGTATTTCCGGACCGATACGACCTTCAAACCTTCAAGAAAAGAGCGATCTCCTCCCTAAAAGGCCGGCAACGCGTTTGTGACGCCTGAGTTGCAGACGTTCATTGGCGGCGATGGTCACTTTCCATCAGGTGACCCGTCTACTCGTCTGCCCCCTCCAACATATAAGGAAGTATTTCCCTTTTTAGTTGAGACCCAACCTCATTACGGTACGTAATAAAATGCTGGAACATCTACTTCAAGTAAGAGGTGTCAAACGTCCGTTATTAGTTCGCTCTTTGTATTAGTTCTGCGAGGCGTCGTCGAGGTGACGTAATGAACCTCTTTGGGGATGTAGTTTTGGCACGGCATCCGTACAGGGTTGCCAGATTCATTCATTGAAATATCCGTATCTGTTTAAATGGCTCTTTATTCATTTTTAAATTATTTTGTATAGTTATTTGAATCTTGTAAGTTGCACGTACATCTTTAAATGATTTATTATTAACTCAAATAGATACAGGTGTAATTTAATTTAATTAAGAAAAGTTAAATCCAGGTTAATATTATTAATTCGAAGAGTTTGTTTGGTGTTTGGTTGAACGTGTTAATCTCAGTAACTACTGGTTCGAATTGAAAAATTCTTTTAGTGTTGGATAGCCTATTTATTGAGAAAGGTTATATAATATTACGATACGACTAATAGGAACCGGCATCAATGAAAAATGTTGGGAAAACAGGTAAAATTTATTCATTTTGAGGTACGCTAGTCAGCACATAGAATCCATACTAATATTATAATGCGAAAGTGTGTCTGTCTGTCTGTTACCTTTTCACGCTTAAACCGCTGAACCGATTTAGATGAAATTTGGTATAGAGATAGTTTGATTCTTGAGGAAGTACATTGGCTACTTTTTATAGCGATAAACGCTGGCGGAGCCGCGGGCCAAAGCTAGTATAAAGATAAAGCAAATTTGGGGGCTTGGGAAAGACTCAGTAGACTTTTAAATTCTTTAGATTTTAAACCTTATCAGCGAGTAACATAGGCTACTTTTTACCGCGATAACCGACATACAAGCGGGCGGAGCCGCGAGCAAAAGTTAGTTTAATATGAATTAAAACAGTAAGTTATTCATTCTCAACTTTGAATAAAACACATCATCCCAGAAAAATAATGAACAGTAATGGATCTACAAATTTCAGTTATGAAATGTAACCAGCTGAAAATATTTTAGACCATATTACATAACAGCCAAAAGCCCGGGAATTTTTATCTGGCAACATTAAAACCAACTACGATACCACGATCGCGTGTGCAAGTCCCGACCGCTATATAGGTCGGCGTGTCGCTTCACTAATACCCCTGCTTTAAATTCAGAACACGATTAGAACAGGTTCATTTTTAAATTCTTTCGTTTCAATCCGTTATAGTTTCCTTTCTATTTAAATACCGTAATACTGAACCGTCTGTGTTTAAATTTCGAATTAGCTTCTTCATTTGTTTATCTTTTTAATTTACTTAGCGATTAATTTTGAAGTTTGTAAGATTTATTAACGTATTTCAAATATACTAAGTTGGAATACTTGAAAAATCTTGTATCTGGACATTCTATTAAAAACCTTTTAATCAAATTTATTTATAACTTAATGAAGAGACAGATCTTGTAAATTCGACAGTTATTTTTATTGCGGGTCTGTTAGGAAGCTGATTTTTAGGGTTAGTGATAAATGTGTTTTTAGGGTTGGTATTAGAAATACTGAAACTGAATTGTCCTTTGCTTCTAATTAACACCCTTCTTAGTTTTACAAGTAGTAAAATTTATTTCTATATACCCATTTAAATTTAATGAATTACCCTCTAGGTAAAAAGAATTTCACTGAATCTAAATCAAGATACTTCGTAAAAGCTTTCATCATCGTCACCATCATGAGCCTATCGCAGTCCATAGCTGGACATAGGCCTCTCCCATTGCACGCCACTTAGATCGATTTTGGGCTTCTCAAAAGCTTTATCTGTCATTAACTTATTGAGCATTACAAAAAAAGCACAAGGAACGTATTTATGATTCTTTCCTGTTGTAATGTAACATAAATCATTTGGTGGATACCCAATATCATAAAAATCGGTTGTCTGTAAAGTCGGTTTACTGACGATAGTTGAACGTGACAACGTCATAAGAAAATACTGATGGAATGGTAGCATTTTTCAAAAATGTATTATTGTATACGAGTAGCAGCAGTCCACGCGGACGCATCGCTCACTCAAGTAGGAGAGAGACAGATGTCGAACGCTGCCGAACGCGGAGGCCGATTGTGCCTCTTTGTCACTCGTTCCGCGCTCTCGCTTGCACTTCACGCCTTAAATGGAACGCCTCAGAGCGAGGTAACGACACATGAGTCATGTTTTTTCGTGCGTGCAGCCGGCTCCATCGAATTATAAGACGTTGTCACGTCAAAAATATATTATTTGTGACTATTAATCGAACACTAGTTTTAGAGTAAAACTTTTAAACATTGTTTTAAAGACAAACGATATTACTCATGTGTGTATTTAAGGGATTACAGACAACTTTACTTTTTAACTGGGGATCCCAGCGTTTAGTTACCTGCTTAGTAATATTTTAATATTTTATAATATTTTTTAAGACATCTGGCACACAACGCCATCTAGTTTCAAACTAAGCAGAGCTTGTACTATGAAAGCTAGATTAACTGATAGAATGCTTATATAACATTTTTTTTGTAAATATATATGTACATATCATGCATAGAAAACACTCAAACTCCGAAATATTATATCTTATACACGTTTATCGCTCAAACAACGTGACCACTATGAAGTTGCAGATTATAGTGATATCCAATACCTATTTTGATACTAATTGCATGAGTTCAAACAGAAGCGAAATGAAATAAAATTACCTATTTTTTAAGTGCGGAAAACAAGGCCTCGGGCCGTCACTCCACCGGGGTTTACGGCGGGGTGGTGTGTCGGTATTATATACATAATAAAAGTATTTAAGTAGGTATTCAAAATAAAAGTATATAAGTAGTATATTAGTCAATCTGGATCTAATAAAAAGCGACTAACCTCTTTTGTTATAAACGATTGCTTAAATTATATATAAATTTTGGTATCCGATTGGTACTTCCCAGACTTATTTCCCCCTTCAGGCGTTGGCTCCTTGCGGATCAGACACAGGTGATACCCAAAACATCCTTTCCCAGTGATCACCTGCGTCAGTCGGTATGAAAGGGTCTCGTGACGCCTCTCGAGCCAATCCTCTATAACGGGTCTTACCGCCGCGATGACGGCGTGCCCGAGGCTTATTTCCTCCTAGCCTTTTTCCAAACTAAGGGGTCGGCTTTAAGTGTACTCCGATACGGCTGAACTTCGATTTTTTCCGCAAAGCAACTGTCATCACACCTCCACAATCCAAGTTCTAGGCGATATTCTAGATAATTATTTGATTTTGATATCAAATTTCTGTAGAAAGACTGTTATCGTCATTTTTTAGGGCTCCAACTATCCGTAACGATTCCGATGTTCGTATGGCAACCGGTACGGTCGGCTTAACGTGTTCTCCGAGGCACGGAGGGGTCTCAAACTGTTAAGAATGGTCACCCATCCATAGACTGACCTGGCTAAGATTACTTGCTGCAATGTGTTAAGCAACTCGTTTACAACTTAGCCACGAGCCCCCCACTGTTTGAATCTAGAATTCATTCAAACCCATATACATGTGTACATAAGGTACGTACAAAAATGGCAGTCACAAAAGAGATGCATCACCGTAGTCATTTGGCTGACAATGGCGCCCACGTTAACGTCGAGTGCGTTCCGTTATACAACTGGGTCATACCGTGTCGCGCGTTAAGGCGGATGAACCAAGCTAACTTGGACCTCCCTTCCCCTCCGAATGCTTTACAAATGGATGTTTCAAGAGGACGTAAAGGGGTCATAGAGTTCTAGTGATTTTGGTTAGGTGTGTAAAAAAATAAAGTTTAAATTTAGAATAAAATGGTTCAATGTTTTTTTAACAGACCGAATATTTATTTTGAAATATTTGATTTGGGTGAGAGGTTTTTTTTGTAATGTTTAAAAGGTAGTTCATTGCTGAGTCTCTTAAATAGTTCATCATCATCAACAGCCTTTACTAGTCCACTGCTGGACATAGGCCTCTCCTTAGAAAGTAGGTTTTGACCTACTATACTACGCTGGCCAGACGAGTTGGTATAGGATTTGTGTCAAGTTTTTTATTTCTCTGCAGTGCTATTGTCCTGCGTAGTTTGCTCCCTTAATTGCCTCTTACGATACCCACAGGATGAATAGGGGTGGTGACACTCTGTATTCTTAATCCGTCACTACACGGACGGTTCAGGTAAATAGTTCAGAATGAAATTATGTTGATGCTTATGAATTGACATACAAACATGGTATAATCATTGTAGTGAGTTTTAATACGATCAAATTTTCTAAACAACTAAAATTACTCGAAGTTAATTAAAAAACAAGTTGAAACTAATTTAATCATCCTCATAATCGTCTTTACTGTCTTTTCCTACTTTATATGAGGTCGGCGGAATGTGTATCATTAATAAACAATAGTTAAAAAAAGTAAAAAGACACGCTTTGGTGACGAGCCAACCTTTTTTTTTGTTTTTAAATTTGTACTACATTCACACAACGCCATCTAGTCCCAAACTAAGCAGAGCTTGTATGGGTACTAGACAACTGATATAAATACATATGTACTTTTATTTTTGTAACTACGTACATATTATACATAGAAACACCCAGACCAAATCAAACATTGAAATGTTCATGCACACAAATGTTTGACTTGAGCGGGAATCGAACCCGCGACCTTTGGAATAGCAGTCCGTTACACAAACCAGTACGCCATTCGGTCGTCTAAACGAAAAGTTACAAAATCATTTTCTATATGTTTAGAAAGAAAAATAAAGTGATGAAAGATAAAAAAACACATTTTATCGTATTTTTACGATAGGAACGTACGTTTTTACGATTGCGTTGAGTGCTAGATGTCGAAAACTACAGAAACCATCACATCATCAGCCTTTAATAGTCCACTGCTGGACAGACGGGTTGGTATAGGGTTTGTTTCAAGTTTTCCTTCTCTCTGCAGTGCTGTTGTCCTGCGTAGTTTGCTCCCTTAATCGCCTCTTACGACACCCACAGGATGAATAGGGGTGGTGACACTCTGTATTCTTAATCCGTCACCACACGGAAAAGCTGACACAATTGCAGTCATTGCACAATTGCAGTTCTAACGATTGCTTTGTAAGATTCTAACAGTTATCGTGCAATTCTCAAAGTAATTGCCGTCCATTACAGCAACTTGCTTACAGAGTCGTTAAGCTTATATTGTTATGACTTCGGAGAGCGTTCAGAAGTTATTTTTTGTTTTATTATTACTTAATTTTTACGCAGGAGTTTGGATCACCTATTTTATTTTACATGCATTCTATCAGGACAAAATTGTGTTGTGAGGGATAAAAAAAAGGTTTTAGAGGATCCGGCATGACAAAACATTTAAATCTATATATCTTTAAACGTCCGTGTGGTGACGGATTAAAAATACGGAGTGGTACTACCCCTGTTTATCCCGTGGGTGTCGTAAAAGCCGACTAAGGGAGCAAACTACGCAGACCACAATACAAAGAGAAGGAAAACTTAACACAAACTCTATATCAACCCGTCTGGACAGTGTGGTATAGTATGCCAAAACCTCCTTTCTAAGGAGAGGTCTATGTCCAGCAGTGGACTATTGTAGGCTGTTGACGATGATGATGATATCCAGTGTGACAATTAAGACGATCTAACGACACCTCTAACGCTGAAATCAAATCAAGCCATTTAGTCTACACAGCGTCCTAAAAAAAATATACATACATACACTCGAAAAAGAAAACCCTTCTGGCGAAGTCGGGTTAAAGGAAAATGCGTTTTTATTGAATACTATAAAGCATACATAACACCGATTATGTTTAAAAGCCTTATTTTGAACAAATATTTTCGGTTTCGGTTTTGACGTAGCCGCGTTTATTATAGAGGGTAAAAAAAGTATAATTTATGAGCTATTATATAAGATACCTATTACGTAAGCATATATATTGGGCGCGGGTTGTACGCTATATAAGAACTCCTATATAAGAATAACTATTGCCGGTCACTCTATCAAAGCAGTAGCGCTGAAGAGTGAACCGGAACCGGATTTTGGAATAAATTTTCAGTTTAAAACATGTGTTACATGTCCCTGAATCGATTCTCATTCTTTTGAGTCTTTTCCCAAACTAAGTTGGAGTCGGGTTTCGACGGTTGATTCTCGATTTTTTTACATACATACATATATAAATAAAATTGGAGTGTCTGTTTGTAATATTAAAATAACCGCTTTTTACTAAATGGATATGTATGTTTACACGGTACATATGCCAAAATAACATTTTTTACAATTATTGTCTGTCTGTCTGTCTGTTTGCTCCGGGTAATCTCTGGAACGGCTGGACCGATTTCGACGGGACTTTCATTGGCAGATAGCTGATGACATAAGAAGTAACTTAGGCTACTTTTTTTAGACTAGCTTTGCCCCGCGGCGTTGCCCGCGGTTATAACAACAAACGCGGGTAACACCGCGGGTCTCAGCTAGTATTCAATATAACAGGCTTTCAATATTTTAGAAACTAACCATTTATGATTGTCATTAAAGCCAACAAAATAGCTTTTAAAAGCAAAATGCGCTTTTAGTTTCCAATTTGTGTAACAGTGTTATGTCCAAGTTAATGTTCTATTAACAGTTTCTAAGTGATTACATTTAGGCCGGGAGAAGTACGCGGTTTCCCCGGGATAGGCGCGCGTCCAGGTCCACCTCGGAGTAGGGCTCCTGAGTCCGGCTGTCGAGGTAGTTTATAGGTAAAACACCACATACTTCGATCCGAAAGGAATTCCCCCCCGTCAAACTTAAGAAAAGTTATAACATTTATTAGGTCAATGGCAATGCTTAAAAAGTCAATTTTAATTTCGGTTATTAACTGGTCTCTTGATCTTATATTTAGAGATCTAGCCTGCTCTGATCAGTCCTACGATCTATACTTAAACCAATACCGTAACATAATACCGTAAATAATAATGTATTTATAAATGTGTATATTCATCTATTGTATGTGTATACTTGAGACCTCTATGTATATATGTAGTTATGAATATAGTGTTTTATTTATAGTATTTTTAGTGGTAGTGTATATATGTAAGTTAGATTTATCCAACATTAATAATATAAACAAGTCAAATTCTCTGTTTTCTCTTGCACCTACAGCTTCATTTTTCTACATCACCCGAAGGTCGACTGGCAGAGAATGCCTTGGGCATTAAGTCCGCCTTTGTACAACTAGTGCATTAAGTTAAATAAATAAATAAATAAATACTCTCCAGTTTTTTCATATTACCATATACCATATTTTTAATAAATTAGCTGGTACACGCGACTTCGATCCCGTGGAATGTGAAAAGCGTTGCCTCAGGGGTGCAGTACATCCATGAGGCCTCGGATTTGATTACCGGATTGAACAACATTTCATAGGGTTTTTCTGACACCAAAAATAAGCCTAAGTTACTCCTTACACAGATAGCAACCTTGTAGTAAAATATTATAAAAATCGGTCCAACCGTTTTAAAGATTACCCGGCACAAACAGACACCGGCACCGTGCAAATAACCGTGTGAACTTAAAAAACCTATTATTTTGATATTACAAACAGACACTTCAATTTTATTTATTTGTATAGGATTTACGGATTTTATCGTAGGAAAGCAATACCTCGGCACAAATGGGCCTCGGCTCGAACGGATTAATATCACGTATCACAGAAGACCCATCTTAAGTAATTCGTTGCTTTTCATATAGTAAGGAGGCTTATCGAAAGCCCAACCCGCCCGGGCTCCTTCATCTCCTCAGGAATAGGGAGGACTCAAAAGGCGTCAAGACATAACCATCAGGTTATAACCATTGAGTTGCAGACGTAACCTGGTATGTGTATGTTCGTTAGGCAACTATCCCACATATTTTTTTATCAACACTCTTAATTTACCATAATAATATTTCTACCTAGTTTGGGATCAGACGACACGATCAGCGTCTCAAGTTATTTATTTATTAAAAACTTAATGCACATGTTGTACAAAGGCGGACTTAATACCATCAGGCATTCTCTCCCAGTCGACCTTCAGGTGGTGTAATAGTAGGTGCAAAGATAAAGTATTAAATTTGTGGTAGTTCATAATAGTTTGGTAGATGAGAGATAAAACTACATTAGATATGACTAATATACAGAAATATGTTGCTACATATATTATTATACTCACTTAGAAGTCTAGAAGTATACACACTACATACACACTATATAAATAATAATAATAATAATAATTAAAAATATATAAATTACTAACGTCCATTCTTAGAGTGAAGATAACATCTCATATTACGAACAACTCTATTATATCTCACTCTCAGAACGGATGTAGAGGTGGGGCACGTGGCACTAAAGAGCTCCTTATTATTGACATGACTATTAACCAACAAGTTCGCCGTAACCGAAAAGATCTGTCGACATGTTGGATAGATTATAAAAAGGCTTATGACTCTGTACCGCATACGTGGCTCTTGAGGGTGATGGAGTTGTACAAGATTGATACAACTCTATGCACTTTTATGGAGACATGTATGCGGCAATGGAGAACGGTTCTTTGCTATCCAGGATGTCGGCAATCTCAAGGCGATGGCGAATATATAATGATTAAGTGGGGTATATTTCAGGGTGACAGTTTAAGTCCCTTGTGGTTTTGCTTAGCTTTAAATCCTCTCAGCACTATGTTGGAGGGTTCAGGGCTAGGCTATAGTTTGCAGAGAGATGGTAAGGTTATATCCCACCTCCTTTACATGGATGATTTAA